GACTATAGACTGGAAGCCAGCCGTTGCGCCCCTACAACAGCTCTCCCGCAACCCCCCACATACACAACTGGGTTGGAGACGTCACAGGCCCCCCACCACCTCGCTCCCGTCTCGTGCTACGGACCTCCTTCACTTGCACCAGCTGCCGGTGGTCCGACCAGGGGTGATCGCAGTTGCACACCCAGGGGCTGTCAAAGCCGCGACAGCTGCACCCCGACTTGGCGCAAGTGTGGCTGGCTGCGTCGTGCTCCACATGCTTGTGCTTGCACCTATGTGGGTTTCGAATTTGGATTTAAACAACTTCAATTTTAAAGAGTGGGGAAAGCCATAGGCAGGCATGCACCACGGGGGAAACCCAGGGGGGGGAGCATCAAACCAGGTTCGAGGGGAGGGGCGGGAGCCGTACGAATGGGGTGCAGCCGAACACCGTCATGGGGAGGGTGGTGGTGTAGGGGGCGTACGGTAGGCCCCCGGGGCCACGAGGGCGGTGCATGTTGGTAATGTTGGACATGCGATTTATAGCACTATCAAAGCCAAGGCCACCATAAACGTCCTTCCATCTTATAGAGCTACGAGGAAGCTGTTACAGCCGGAGGCCAGGGGAACAGCAGCAGGAGCAGCTAGTGGTCCCTTGAGCTGTGTCAGGCGGGTCACCGGATGGCCCCACATGTAGCGTGTGGGCCCCCAGCCCCCCCAGCAACCCGGTAGCAACCCTGCTAGCCCCACCTCACCTGCACCTCAGCACCCAAGCTCCTTCAGCTACAATGAAAAAGAAGCTCCGGCAGCTGCACTTGGCGACTTTGCACCTGAGGGGCCGCAGGGGACATGCAACAACACAGTGTGTGAACGGTCTGAGGGGTTTAGGAACTGAGGTGGTGAGGCGCGGCAGCGAGCGGGGCAATAGCGAGAATGAGGGGGGGATGTTACCCGGGAGGAGGTCGGCTACTGCTATTGCTGCTACCGCTGTTGCTGTTACTGTGAACAAGGCAGCCTGGGAATGCTGGAAGGTTGGCCCCTGTATTCGGAATGACCTTCAACACCAAGTGGGCGTGGGGACCCGTCGAAAGCCTCCCGACCACCACACCGCTGCGAGGGGCGCGGCGGGTCGAGCGGCACCACCTCCCATCAGCTGGAAATCCTCCTCCATTCGTCGGGGGCTGCAGCCCGGCGTTGATGAAAAGGAGTCGCCCACTGAGGGTAGCTAGGGGCCTTCATCTGCATCTGCTCTCATCTGTCGCGAACACAAAGTCTGTGCTTTCGCTCGACCGCATGCAATCCCCCCACCTGCTACCCCCACCCCAGGGCCCATAACCACCCCCTGAACGACCGCAGTGATGTCTCATCACTGAGACGTCTTTCCCCTAAGACCCCTCCGGGGAAGGGGTCGCCCAGACGTTCGCCAGGTCGCGGGTCCATCCACCACACACGGCCCCAGGGGCACCAGTTCAGAGCGCACCCTTCCTCAGGCGCTGAAACATCTCGCTGTAACGCTTACATGCCGTCATATGTGCCGTCAAATGAACACCGAGGTCATCACCACATGAGGTGTTCAGGATGGGCAGCGGTCTATCAGTCAGCGATGTGGCCGCTGTGTCGTACACATGCTTCTTCCACTAGGTTTGGAGCTAGCTGGCTTGTGTTCAGACGCCACCAGATTTGGACGAGAAATGAGCAGCAGAGGACACTCGCACAGTCCCCGTGAAGGCTGAGCACTGTGCTGCGCTGCGTAGGTTTGGTGCTACTGGCGCCGCACCTGGAGGCGGCTTGGGAGCTGGCGGGGTCGTGTTCTCTGAGCCGGTGGCCGCACAGACACCGCGACTCGCTGCGCACTGGCACGCACTCCCGCTGGCAGGTGCCGCACACCCAGGCGAATGCCTCCACCTGGCGGGTGGGTAGCGGCGGGGTGGGGCCCGGGGGAGCTGCGGAGGGGGGCTCCGCCGCGACTGAGGGCCCCGGTGCGGGTTCTGCCGCCTCCGGGAGGTTTGCTACTGGCGGGTTGGAACGGGGGGTTGCATAGCGGGTCGGTTTGTGGATTTACTTGTGCGGCCGCCGTAATGCTCAACCCAGTTGCTGGTGCAGGTTTGGGGACCAGGAGAGTACACGGGATAAAATGAATGTGGCCTTGGGCCAGGGGGCCAAGCCAGCCAAGCAGACATGCACCATGAGGATATGGCTCCATTGTGGAGGATTTTTGAGATGGCAGCAGCGGGATGAATTCATGCATGCACATGCTTGCTCCTCAGCTGGCACGTGAAGGGTGAGGAGGCACGGGAAGGGTGAGGAGGCAGGAACGATATGCGCGTCGCCTCGTTACCTGAGGGGAGGGATGTTAGAGAAACACTGCGATCTATACCCTAAGATTTCCTAGTAACCCACCTGAGGACTTTGATTCATCTGAAGCTATGAGCCCCGTCCTAGTCCCGGGAGATGCACCGGTCTCGGGAGTTGAAGTTGACGCAGCTTGCTGTCTCCTTGCCTTTAAACTTGCGAGAGCATTTGCTTTTGACGTGCTCATGGCTAATGCTAGCTTAGACAGCGACGGGGCTTTTAGTTACGGTCAGCTGCTCAATTTTAAGAACCGGCAAATAAGGAAATACAAAGCTTAAGGATTGCAGCCTTATCATACAACTCCAAATTGAGTTATTCATCACGAACCAAGTAGATCAACGCACATGCTGCCTGTGACACTTTGAAATGTATACTGTGTCGACTACGCTTTTACAATAGCTGTGTTTCCAATCAGCCAAACTTGTCCACATAAGACGTAGGTGTATGGTAGTCGCATGACATCTGTTGCTTTGCCCACATGTCGAAAGCAGACGCTTACGTAGAGTGCCGTACTGTCGTGCGCTTCGAAGGCATCGTGGCTAGCACTGTTCAGCTCACACCGCACCCATGCCAACGCCAGTGCCCAGACAGATGACATATAACACAATCTGTTCACATACATATCTCTGCATGCATATTTACCCTCGCCTGAATCGCTGTGTGCCTGGCCGCCGCGAGCGACGCCGCCGCCGCTGTTGCCGCATTTGGCGGCACTCGAATGACAAGTGGGAAGGAAGTGACTCGACGTGTCTCGATGGACAGGTAGAGAAGAGGACGCCAGCTCCGCCGGCGGCTGCATCACCAGAGGCGAAGCCGTCGCCAACGCCAACTCCACCTCCGCCCACACATATGTCACAACACCTGTCATTGATGCCGCTGCACCTGCCGCAGCCGCCACACCGGCCGCCACCGCCACACTCGCCAGCGTCACCGCCACCGCCACTACCGTCACCGCAGCCACACCCGCCGCCAACGCCACACCCGCCAACGCCAACTCCAACGCTTCCAAGACAGCTGCCACCACACCCGTCATCAATGCCACGGCGCCTCCCGCAGCCGCCACACCCGCCGCCAACGCCATACCCACCACCGTCGCCGCCACCACATTTACCGCCACCGCAGCCACACCCGCCGCCAACGCCACACCCGCCAACGACAACTCCAACGCCGTCAAGGCAATTGCAAGCACTCCCGTCACCGATGCCATTGCACCTGCCGCAGCCGCCACACCCGCCGCCAACGCCATACCCACAACCGTCGCCGCCACCACAATGACCGCCACCGCAGCCACACCCGCCGCCAACACCACACCCGCCAACGCCAACTCCAACGCCGCCAGGCAAATGCCACCACACACGTCACCAATGCCACCGCACCTCCCGCAGCCGCCACACCCACCGCCACCGCCACACCCGCCATCGTCGCCGCCACCACAATTACCGCCACCGCAGCCACACCCGCCGCCAACGCCACACCCGCTTACGCCAACTCCAACGCCCCAGTCAAATGCCACCACACCCGTCACCAATGCGACCGCACCTCCCGCAGCCGCCACACCCACCGCCACCGCCACACCCGCCATCGTCGCCGCCACCGTCACCGCCACCGTCACAACCATAGCCACCACCTCCACCGCAGCCACACCCGCCGCCAACGCCACACCCGCTTACGCCAACTCCAACGCCGCCAGTCAAATGCCACCACACCCGTCACCAATGCCACCGCACCTCCCGCAGCCGCCACACCCACCACCAACGCCACACCCGCCACCGGCACCGGCACCGCTGCCTCCTCAACCGCTACCACCGCCATCGCAGACACACCCGCCGCCAACGCCACACCTTCCGACACCGCAGCGACACCTGCCGCAGCCGCCACAACTGCCACAACCTACGCAACCGCAACACCCGCCAACGCCAATGCCAAATCGTAAGCCAACGCATCCATCACCGGCGCCGCCACAACCGTCACCCCCGCACCGTCGGCACTCGAAGGACATGTGGGAGGATGAGGATGGATGGACAGGTGGAGAAGAGGACGCCAGCTCCGCCGGCGGCTGCATCACCAGAGGCGACGCCGCCGCCGCTGTTGCCGCATTTGGCGGCACTCGAATGACAAGTGGGAAGGAAGTGACTCGACGTGTCTCGATGGACAGGTGAAAAAGAGGACGACAGCTCCGCCGGCGGCTGCATCACCAGAGGCGACGCCGCCGCCGTTGTTGCCGCATTTGGCGGCACTCGAATGACAAGTGGGAAGGAAGTGACTCGACGTGTCTCGATGGACAGGTGGAGAAGAGGACGACAGCTCCGCCGGCGGCTGCATCACCAGAGGCGACGCCGCCGCCGCTGTTGCCGCATTTGGCGGCACTCGAATGACAAGTGGGAAGGAAGTGACTCGAAGTGACTCGATGGACAGGTGAAGAAGAGGACGCCAGCTCCGCCGGCGGCTGCATCACCAGAGGCGACGCCGCCGCCGCTGTTGCCGCATTTGGCGGCACTCGAATGACAAGTGGGAAGGAAGTGACTCGACGTGTCTCGATGGACAGGTGAAGAAGAGGACGCCAGCTCCGCCGGCGGCTGCATCACCAGAGGCGACGCCGCCGCCGCTGTTGCCGCATTTGGCGGCACTCGAATGACAAGTGGGAAGGAAGTGACTCGAAGTGACTCGATGGACAGGTGAAGAAGAGGACGCCAGCTCCGCCGGCGGCTGCATCACCAGAGGCGACGCCGCCGCCGCTGTTGCCGCATTTGGCGGCACTCGAATGACAAGTGGGAAGGAAGTGACTCGACGTGTCTCGATGGACAGGTGGAGAAGAGGACGCCAGCTCCGCCGGCGGCTGCATCACCAGAAGCGACGCCGCCGCCGCTGTTGCCGCATTTGGCGGCACTCGAATGACAAGTGGGAAGGAAGTGACTCGAAGTGACTCGATGGACAGGTGAAGAAGAGGACGACAGCTCCGCCGGCGGCTGCATCACCAGAGGCGACGCCGCCGCCGTTGTTGCCGC